TTACATCAATGCATTTGACATATTATATTAAGGTTTCCAAATATCCATATATCTATCAAGGTGTTGTATATTGATATATTAACATTACAAAAAAATTATATCAATTTCATTTCAAAGAAAAAATAAAGTGTATTTCATTCATTCTTAAAATATATTTAATTTAAAATTATATTGTCGTTGCAATAAAATGCTTGTAAGAGACATATCGAAAAATTAATTAAATATTAGGTGTTGTAATATTAATATATCAATATACAATACCTTGATAGATATATGGATATTTGGAAACCTTAATATAATATGTCAAATGCATTGATGTAATTATTTGCCATTGCATTATTCGCCATTACATGTTTCTTATTTAAAATTCAGAGCATGTAATAGGCCGTCTTGTCAGATTATCGTAATGCTTACTATTGTTACGTTATTGACGTACGTGACAAATATTGCGACAATTCATCATACATCGTATGATGAAATAGTTTCATAAGCTTATAATTATAATTATCATTTCACCAAAAATTACGGATTGGTTAAAGGAATGCTGGAGTGACCAAATTGTCGAAATATTATACAGATATTACAGATCCATATAAATCTACAACTTTGCTTCCGCCGTTTTTTTTCCGAAATTCGAGGCTTTATTGTAAAAAATTGGTTATACATTTATGATTCAAAGTATTGTCCATCGCTGGGCACTACTTTCTCCCATCTTTCGGGTAGCGTACGAATCCCGCGTCGAAAAAAACTGATCTTTTGAGGCTATCCACGAATCGATCCAATTTTTTACTTCTTCATAAGACCGGAAGTGCTGGTCAGCCAGGCCGTGTGCCATTGATCGAAACAAGTGATAGAGGGAACAATGTCTGGAGAATACGGCGGGTGGGATAGAACTTCCCATTTCAACGTTTCCAAGTATGTCTTAATCATTTCGCAACATGGGGTCGAGCATTGTCATGCTGCAAAATCACTTTATCGTGTCTCTCGTTGTATTACGGCCGTTTATCTTTCAATGCTTGGCTCGAAACGCATCAATTGCGTTCGATACCGATCGCCTGTGATTGTTTCAGTCGGTTTTAACAGTTCATAATACACTACGCCGAGCTGGTCCCACCAAATACAGAGCATAACCTTGGAGGTCAAAATCACCGTTCTTGAAGCGTTGAAATCACTCACGACACGTTCTTTCACTAATAGCGGCCTCACCATAAGTATTTGAGAGCATTCGATGAGCCTCAGCCGCAGATTTCTTCATATTGAAGCAAAAAATTAAAACCTTCCGCAAATGACGAGAATTTGGCTCGTAAACTGACATTTTCAATCGAGAATAACTTTATGATGTAGACACAAATCGACTAATGTTTCTATTATATTGACAGATGCCCAAGTTTATTGTATGACGTCTATGATCTATTTATTTCGACCACCACTTACCGCTAAAGTCATCTATAGGAAAACGGCGGAAGCAAAGTTGTCTAATAGTAAGTACTAGTTTTACTTTTACAAAGTTTGAATAAAAATTAATTATAAAAAAATTATTTATATTAAAAAATTATTAATACATTATACAATTATAAGAATTGCTACAAAGGACAGAAAGCAGATAAGTATAAATCAATCAAAGTTGACGAATATTTATTTGTGGTTATTTATTATTTTATGTTATCATTAATTTACGGATCTGGCAAATATATATATAGAAATAATATTATTCAAAATTTTATTGCTGAAAAGTAATGATATAAAAGACTTTCGCATTCTTTATTCATGCACAAGCATACTTTCATCAATGCGATATAGAAGTTTTTAAAATATTGTAGCTTTTTGAAAACTAGATATGAAAAATCAATGAACATCTATGTTATAAAATCTTGTATGAGTATTCAAAAGTTTCGAAAATATAAATCTCGCCTTAGAGCTAAAATAAAATTGTGTGAAAAATATTACAAATTAGCATTGCGAAATAATCTACCGCATGATATTACACTGAGAACATAGAGTCATTATTCACAATTTTTTTTGTAGTGTCCACAATTTACATTCGAAAATTATCGCAATAATATTAAAAATAATATTAAATAATAGATATTATAAATATTCTTCTGGAATAGTCTTAAAAATAATATTTTATACATTTTTATCGTTTTTGTTTTGGTGTTTATGGAAGAGCAATCAGAAAGCGATTAATCTTCTATCATTTTATTCATTTTGAAATGATTAAACTACTCATAAATTTATTTATTTATAGCATTATTCACAGTTTTCTCGAGTAATCTCGTAAAAAATTTATTTCATAAATAAAAACGAAATTTCATACACTCACTATTTTTTTATATAAATCATTTCTATTTCAAAAAAAAATCGCTAAACACAAATTATTGTAGACACTACAAAAAAAGCTTTTAAATAATAATAATAATATTCTTATATAATAAAGATATTCTTAGCACAATGCCGCGAGACAAATTGTTTTGTAATACGTTCATCATATGTTTATAGATACAGTTAATCTATTCGTATGGAAAATTTGAATTCCGAGAGTTATGAATATCTCCTCCTTTCATATGTGTGCGAGATTAAATACTGGCATTGATATACATTTCAAATAATATCTTAGTAACGATTAGATGAGCAGAGATAAATTTAATATATTTTTCTCTAATATATCCCTTATATTCTTCATATAAAAAAAATAGAATATGCTCATGAATAGATAAATAATAAAATTTCCCATCAGCTTCAAATGTATTATAGTAATATTTTAGCCATTTGTTTACTACATCTTCTACGCATTGAAGAGGATCTAAACCTAAGGTCGAAACATAAACAGTTTTAACTTTGTAATCAATCATTAAACTACAGATTTTCGAAACAATTACTATGCAGGCTCGCATCAACATTTTTGTAATATTATTTCTGATTTCTTTTACTTTTTTGTAAGACTGCTGCAGACTGACACACTTTCCATAACAGTAAGATATACCATCGAAAAAATTAGTCAATCACAATCAAGAATTATCAAAAATGTTCAGCTCTGATTGACTAATTCTTACGATACATCTTACGATACGTCTTACGATTATATGATTAGGGAAAGTGCATGTGATGATTATAATATTTCCATATTGAATTAAATCGTCCATACATATAATCATATAAAATTTTGGCAATAAGCATTAATTCAATTAATAATAAAGTTTTGGGCAAAAACTTGCTCAATCCATTCAGGGCCACCGTTTAAAAACTGACAATCGAGAGAGAAACCGGTATTGCAAAGAATTTATCATGAGTCCAATCCAAATGAAAGAATCATTTCAAGGATACAGGGAAAAAAGCTGTAATTTTGTATATACGTACAACCGATAATTGCTGATAAAATTAGGCTTATTCAGAACTTAAAGGAAAAACTATTTTTTGCTCTCATTGCCAAAGAAAATGAAAAAAAAAATCAAGAATTTTAAAGAAAATATATTAAAAATGATAGGATATCTTATTAAAGCACGATAAAATGGAAAATTATACAATATGATAATTACATACTCGTGTGCATACTCGTGTTACATACTCAAACAATTTTTATAATTCAGATTAAATTAGATTAGAAAAACAATTATTGGAAATAGAAAAAGATTACTTTTTTTCTAAAATCAACGTACTTGTAAATCGTTATTTATTTTTTTTTAATTTCGACCTAATTTGTCCGATAGTTTTCTATTTGTTGCACAAATTTTGAAAGTTATACTACTTTCAAAAAATTATAATTTCTAAATAATTCACTACAGTTCTTAAAAGCTGAAATGAAGAACAAAAGGTCGATTTGAAAAATTTGCTTATATTTAGCATGCTTATATTTATCATGCTTATATTTAGCGAAGATAAATTGTTGCTTCTATACTGCTATCAAATAACTTATTTTAAGAATAATCATATGCATAAAGAATATTTTATCGATTACAACTATGTGAATAGTATAACAAAACTTTGATATCAAAGTTAATCAATATTAACTAATTAATATTAGCTAATTTCACGACACATCTTTTCAGCACATCTCGATTACTTATTAACTCGGTTGGTATTTTCCTTTATTTATTCTTTCGCAATTATTTCGTATCCACGTATTTTGCAATGTCTCAAGATTTATATAAATCAGTTTTTAATTTCTGTAAAAGAGGGAGTTTCCATAATATTTAAAAGAAGCCTTTAAAAGAAAAATTTGATGATTAAATATGAAAAATGATCAAAGAATGAATTTAAAGCAAATTATTTCCATCATTCGTGAATAATGCAAATCTAATACGAATTTACAGCATTCTCATATCGCGAATCTGTTTGCAAGATAGATCTAAATAACGATCTATTTTTCTATCTTTTTTAAGATTCTACCTTAATTTGATTTTTTATTAATAATATCGTAATATTAACATTAATATCAACAAAATATAACAAAAATATGATAAATTATGAGCCGTTTATTATTATCGCACTAAGAAAAAAATATAGTTAATTTTAATAAATATTTAGTTCAATACTGCCAACTAAACATTTACTTACAGTAAGTAAATACTTGTTTAATAAAAAAAATGACTGTTAAATCAAATTAACATTTCCTGTTCAAATAAATATATCTTTATATTTAATAAGTATTTAGTTGGCAGTATTCAACTAAAGATTTATTAAAATTGACTATATTTTTTTTCAATGTGTTAATATTAACCAAAAATCGAAATCGCCTCAAGGATACAAGAGTAAATGTCATTTTTTTCCTTACTATTAAATTCATAGAATTAATTAAATAGTAAGATGCCTTTTTCTTGTCTGCATCGTTCGATTACTTTTTTGTTGTTTGTTTGTGTAGTGATATAGATGTTTACGCATACAATGACACTCGTAAAACATGGACTTCAATGCAGGTATATATGTCAGGCGAACATCCAAGTGCTATTCTCTATTATCGTGCCCCACTCGAAACACGTTCAATAACCAATAGCCAACTTGAATACGCCGGACAAGATGCCAAGTATCCTTTACTTTCTCAGTGCCGTCGTCATAATTGTTCCATTACAATCGAGTAGACAACCGATAAAGAACCGATATCATAATCTTTACGACGATAATATGAGCGGACGCGAGTTGATGAATATATTTGATTTTGGTATTGGAGCTCTACACTTTTTACAACAAGGTCAATATTATATGAATCATGAAGTACCGGATATGGTTCCGCAATTTGGAGCAGTGTACGATTTCGTGGTAATAGGCGCCGGAACAGCCGGTGCCACGATAGCTGCGAGATTGAGTGAGATTCATCAGGTTGAAGTGTTATTGATCGAAGCTGGATCTAAAGAAAATTTTCTTATGGATATCCCGCTTCTCGTTTACATGTTGCAGCTAAGCGACGATATTAATTGGAAGTATCAAACCAAATCGTCCAACAAATATTGTCTTGGCATGGAAGGCAACAGGTGTAACTGGCCTAGAGGCAAAGTAATGGGCGGAAGTAGCGTGCTAAACTATATGATCGCAAGCAGAGGAGGCGCCGAGGATTACGATCGATGGGCTAAAATGGGAAATGAGGGTTGGGCTTACAAGGATGTCCTCAAATACTTTAAAAAGCTGGAGACAATCGATATTCCAGAGCTGCAATCAGACACTATTTATCACGGAACTAAGGGACCGTTACATATCTCTTATCCATTATTCCATACGTCATTGGCAAAGGCTTTCTTAAACGCTGGCAAAGAGTTGGGATACCCGCTGGTGGATTATAACGGAAAGAATACGATAGGATTTTCATATGTGCAGGCCACAATAATAAATGGCACCCGCATGAGCAGCAACAGAGCCTATCTACATCCAGCAAGAAATCGCCGGAATCTTCATGTAACACGCGAAAGCAGGGTAAAAAAAATATTGATTAATCGTCATACAAATCGGGCGATTGGCCTGGAATTTATCAAACATCATCAAATTATCAGGGTGTTTGCGAGTAAAGAAATAATTTTATGCGCGGGTGCCATTGGATCACCACAATTACTAATGTTATCTGGCATCGGACCGGCCAAACATCTTAATGAGCTCGGCATAAACGTCGTTCGGGATTTGCCGGTTGGTGAAAATCTGATGGATCACGTAGCTTTTGGCGGGCTAACATGGACAGTAGATGACCCAGTAAGTATTCGAATAATTGATATAATAAATCCCACTTATCCGTATATGAAAGACTTTCTGATGAAACAATCCGGACCAATAACGGTCCCAGGTGCGTGCGAAGCCCTCGCTTTCATTGACACCAAAAATTCAACGAAACTTCATGGTTTACCGAACATTGAATTGCTATTTACTGGTGGTGGATTGAAAGGAGATTTAATTCTACCGACTGTAATGGGTTTGAACAATGCAATGCGTCAGATATGGAACAAATATATCATCACTTACGGCTGGACCATACTACCGATGTTATTGAAACCAAAAAGTCGTGGATGGATAAGACTATTGGCCAACGACATCAACGTTAAACCTGAAATCGTTCCAAATTACTTCGACAATCCGGAAGATGTTAAGACGATGATGGAAGGCATTAAAGCTGCAATAAGCGTCGGTCGAACGAAAGCAATGAAACTGTTTGGTTCACGATTGACAAACGATACTTTTCCTGGATGTGAAAACTACGAGTATGATTCTTACGATTATTGGGAGTGCGCGATGAGGACGGCATCTCTTACTATCTATCATTATAGTGGCACTTGCAAGATGGGACCGAAAGAAGATCCGACTGCTGTCGTCGACCCTAGATTAAAGGTATTGTTAAAAGATGCACTAGAAAGTACTTTCTTTCAAATCTATAATAAATATTAGAGTTGCCATAAATTTTCTATTCTAAAATTCCATAAATTTCCCCTGCTTTCCAGACAAAATTTAATGATTTTTGGAAATCGTCAAATATTTTACTGAAAGAGCAATTTAATATAGCAATGTAAATTACTATTAATGTGATTGTTGACACTACTTGCATTTAATTGCTAAGATGATAGTATTTCAAAATTGCGTATATAGGCGTAATGTATATATGCACATTAAACTTCTTTAAAGTCAAGAAATTTAATTTTCCGAAAAATATTCTCTGATTTTTCCCTGATTTCCATGATCGTTTTCAATTTTCCTGATTTCTAGTTTTGTATACACGTATACATTAAATTTCATAAAAAAATTTTATGAAAATTATATTAAGTTTCATAAAATTTCATGAAAATTACAATAAATTTAATGTAATGTCATGAAATTAAATTCAAATTGTGTAACTTAAAAGTACATTAAATTTCATGAAATTTTTTAAAGTATACATTAAATGTTAATGAAATTCAAGTATATTTCTAATAATGAACTCTGAATATTCCTGTATGATGCACAGCATACGCTCACACACATACACACTCGCGCGCGCGCCCACATGCACGCACGCACGCACGCACATACACATATATGTCACTTGTAATGTACAAAATTCATGTACGCAGGTGATTGGCATTCAAGGATTGCGAGTAGCAGACGGTTCCATCATGCCTGAAATTATATCAGCCCACACAAATATACCTATTTTTATGATTGCTGAAAAGCTGGCAGATATGGTCAAAGAAGATTGGGGATACTTGAACGAATCATAAACATAATGGTAGCGATGAGTTTTCGACCAGTATTAATTACATAAAAAATTAATTACATTAAAATATTAATTACATTAAAAATTTGCAGTATACAGTGCCCCATAAATTTTGGGGCACTGTATACTGCAATAGCTTTTGTGTAGATAGAGCGGACTACACTAAATCGAATAGTACTTGTACCATTTTGCAATTTTCGCAATAGTTAATAAGACATTAATTATTAAAGAATTGCATATCTTCATGGAGAAAAATATTTTACTGTTGTAGCAAATCTATCATTACTACTATACATTCGTAATGGCAGTGATAAAATTTAGTTAATACAATCAGTTTTAGAAATTATTTATTATTAGAGTAAAATCTGTTTTGTTGCTGATAGAAGATAGAAGAAATGTGTCGCGGATATTTGTCTTTAGAACTAAGTTAATTTGTTGTTAAAGCGAAATAATGTGTTCTTAGCAAATTTTTTTGCTATTGGAGCAAAATTATTATTGTTCACACAAATCCATTATAACAACAAAAGAAATTTGTTATTGTCGATCGATTGTGTTATTTATAGCGAAACTTGATTTGTTAGGATGCGCCTTTTATTCTGTTTTCAGATAACTCTCGTTTCCTTTCAGGAATCTTCTGTTATTATAGCGACGCTATAATAACAAAAGTCCACGTATTGTCGCGAGTGACCTCTCAATATCTTATCGCATTTATTTTTATTTTTCTTATTATTCACGATACTTTTGTTACTTTATTCAATGTCAACGTATATTCATAATGATACGAAATCTGTTGGATAGTTGGGGCTTGAAGAAATTATTTTAAAATTATTTCAGTGTGCGCGCGCGCGCGCGCGCGCGCGCGTGTGTGTGTGTGTGTGTGTGTGTGTGTGTGTGTGTATTTGTGTGGGTGTATAAGAAATGTGTACATAAAAATAAATATAATATATGAATGAAGATCTTATAGGGGATGAAACACATTAAATTAAATCTCTGTTTAACATCAACCACCTGACAATAGAGATAAATTTTGAATGTTTGAGCCACCATAACTATTCAGCCTAATGACAATTGAGAATGACTTTTGATCAGCGAGCCAAAAGCTAGGACATATCAAAATTTCAACCAATTTTTTGATCAGACCTCATTTCCTTAAGAACTGTTGCGGAGTCCTTTAATTTATCTTTGCGTTTTTGTTTGTTATAAACATTTTACATTTTACTGTTTATTTTTTAATTGTTGACCTTCAATTTTATTATTAACTTATCCTTATTATATTCTTTTTTAAAAGATAATTTTTCCCTTTTATTATTATATAATTTCACATCTGGACTCCGATTATCAACGTATATTCGCTTGAAAACGAATTCGTATGACTAATTATCAAAATAATTAATAAACTTTTACTTGCATTGGAAGCAGAATCTCAATTCAAGATTCATACAAAGTTAATCTCAATATTAGTATATACAACATCGTCGATATTTTTTGCAACAAGTTGCTAAGCAATTATTAGTTTTACGTTTCAAGACTAAAAATAATTTTGGTGCCCATTTTACATTAGAATCGTGGTATATATAAATTCACACGAAATTATTTTCAACATCCAATTTAAAATTCAGTTTTACCTCTTAAAAAATTTTGTTTCGAACATTATCAATGCAAATTCTCTCAAATTTATGACATAACATAAATGAATAAAACATTATAAAAATTATTATCAATGTAACTCTGAAATTTATGGCATAACATAAAATATTACAAAGATATTTATAATATCTATAAAACCAAACCTTGTTTTCTGTTTCTTGCTTTTTATGATTATTTCTTATCTTTTTGCCTCTTTCCAAATTTCTGTTTTTTATCATCCAAAATAAAAATTGACGAACTTGAACAGAAACACATAATAAGAAATGCGTAGAGTTAGGCTTTAAGCTAAAAAAAAACCTTTCTTATGTTTATTTATTCGAATATATAATTTTAAATAAAACATATGAAAATATTTACTAATAATGAATACATAATAATGAAAGTGCTTAATAAAGTATCACAAAATAAATACTATATTTTATTGATGCGATATATCTTTATCTCGTCAAAAAATCTAATTTTAATTAAAATTAATCGAAATAATGAATATGCAGGGCAGTGATCAAAGCCAAAAGCAAATTTCTCGATAAGACTAAAAGAAGCTATGATAGAAATATCTTCGATAACGTTATGATTCTTTGCTACGCCATAATTGCTTAAAAAAATTTGACGTGATCCATAAGAGATTCAAATATAGAAATGACTTAGCAGTTACAGTAAAATTTACTCGCAACCCATGATTTTGCGTAAAGGAACACGATGTTATTGCACTTGGCTTGGTTTAGCGCCGCAAGACACTACCATATCTCCTAATTAAAAAATCTGATGTGATTCATGACACAAGTTCGCGCTTCATATGAAATGGCCTGATATTTCGATAGATTTCCTAATCTGAATCGTAATAATTAATATCTCAGGGTGTCGTCACATGTGATATAATTTGCGTCACTTAAATCATATCAAATTACATCAGACATTACGCGTTATTCTAGTTGAAATGGTTTGATTGGCTGACGTAAGTTATGCTTAATAAGTTACGTCCCATGTGACGACACCTTCAGACTGGCGTCACATAAGCAGAAATTTAAAGCGGAACAGAACAGCTAAATCACAATCGCAGAAAAGAAAGCAGATTGAAAAGCAGATAATGACTGCAGAGTTGTGATTGGCTGCGATGTTGTATGACTTTTTTTCAACGAGTTATTCAACATTGAAGCAAAAATGATCCCTTTTACTTGAATAATTTGAACGTGAAAAAAATCATACCTCGTTCAATAAAAGAAGCGAATTGAAAAACCGTTTATGTTAAATACATTTAATTATTAACATTTGGGAAAAATACATTTAATTATTAACATTTGGGAAATTTGGGGGATTATTAATATTTATTGATTGCGTTGAAAGTCCGACAACCATATCGGCATGCAATTATCATATCTGAAATTAATTCACTTAAATGAATATATATCAGTTCAACATTTTAATATTCAGATTGCAGTGGCACTTTGTATTTAAAGTAATGTATTTAACATAAGCTTATTTCCAATCTTAATATTCTATTGTTTATAAGACATCAGCTGGAAAAAAAAAGTGTTGCACCTCATTCGGAAGGGGCATGGAAGATAGGTACACAAACCATTTATTTTTGACAGAAGAAAGGAAGGAGAAATTTTATAATTAGAAAACTTTATAATTAGAAAAGGAGTTCGGATATATTATTTTTGATGAAAATTGATTAAAATTCGGACTGAAATATCATCATAAAAAATTAAAGAAGTATTTTGAATCTCGAAATTTGTACTTTAAGCTTCTGATCTGATTTTTAAATTTAATTCTACAGAATTAAGAAAATAAAATTTGTTGTGATGATTTTTTACCAAATTTCACCATTGATTATTTAGCAAGTTTAGTTTGTTTTCAATATTGCGTAATTTAATCAAGAAAAATCATAAAAAATTTTTAGAAAAGCAAGAATTTTGAAAGTAACTCTTTATACTGTTTTTCAAAAATATTGAATTTTTGAAAAAAAAAAAAACTTTTATCAAACTACGCATAATGTTAAATGTATGTAATTTTAAGAAATACAACATCATTGTATTTCTTAAATTTTTTGAGATACAGAACTGTAAAGACATTTTTTTAAAAAGCGATCAAAAACATGCTGAAGTATAAGTTTCAAGCTTTAAAATGCTTTTTCATTTTTTTTCTGCAATGATTTTTTAGTTACGATGATCTGAATATTATGCAATTTTAAATGCAATGTCCGAAAACTTTTCGACAGTGTATAAATAAATATTTACTTTTTTGAAAGTATATAAATAAATATTTAATGAATAATGACAAATATTATGTTACTGTTAACTTTTTGCAACCCACGCATGATTATCTAATCTTCCTACATATACATTCACGGAGTTGGTCAGGTGGCATAAGTGAAAGTGTGTTGTGTGGCGATATTGTGAGAATACAATAAAAATAGATAGAAATGATTAGAAGATAGGCAGGGTGATTATTAGTAAAAGCAAAGGCAATATAATTAGGATAAGTGAAAAAGAGCCCGTGCGAAAAGGAGAACAAGAGTTTGAGAAGTTTAAAAGTAAGCGGAAAAAAAAAGGATGAGATAAACGAGACGAACTCTGTTTAAATTAAGATGTAAGAATTTGGAGGAGAGAAATAAGTATTGATAGAGAAAAGTAGGAGGAAGTGTATATTCTGGGGAGGATAAGAATAATTTAGAGCATTACGTAAAGGACTGTGTAGAGACAAAAATTAAATTTACCGATTTAGAAAAATAGGAAAAGGAAATTTTGAAGAGGATCTGAAATGATAATTTGGACAATAAGAAGGGAGAGATGTTAAGGAAATTATGAAAGGGAGAAATTACTTAGAAATAAAAAGGAAGAAGAGAAAAAGGATAAGACACATTCAGTAGATGAATAAATGGGTGATAAATGTGGAAGTAATCAGGTTAAAGCAGGGCGTGCGGGAGTCAATTAGGGAAAAAATGAGTAGACATAAATATAGTGTGAAAAGGTATGCATAAATAAAAATAAAGGAATTTTCTACAGGCTGAAATAGATTATAATAAAGAGAGAAATAAATGGATGAAAAGATAGATGTGTAGGTAGATGTATACGTAATAGACTGCCAAGGAAAAAAAAATTTTTTTTTTTAATCGGGCACTTGATTCAAAAACTTCCATTTTATGCTAAAAGAACATCTCTAAATTTTTATCAAAAACTATTAAGATTTAAAGATCGTTCTAAAAAATGACCAAAATCGATTTTAACAAGGTCCCAAATTGTTGTAATTTTTTCACATTAATTGGGTTGTATTTCTTAAGGCATATAGAGTTAAATGAACTATTGCATCGTGTTCAGCGATTTAAAAAACATACAGTGCTACATTTGAAATCCG